AGCCGTCAGAACTGCTGCTCATAGTTGTTCTTTCATGTTTCATCCTTAATCAGTTAAAAACCTACTGCAGGGTCTGGAGTGACAGCGCTGCAGTTAAGAGCACTTGCTGGTCTTGCAGAGGACCTAGTTTTTGGTTCCCTGTACCCATGACATGGGGTGGTTCATGACCACTTGTAACTCCAGCTCCAGGAGGATCACCCTTTTCTGGTTTCTAGGGGCACCTGCACTCACATGAACATACCCCTCGATACACAATTTGGAAATTAAAAAAAAAAAAAATAAATTGGCAAGTTTTGTATGCATTTTACACACCCCTGCACATACACACACTGGAGATGAAAAAAATCATAACAACACACCCTGGACCAGAACAAATTTTCATATAGGGCATTACTGGGATATATGGCACAACTGAAATAGTGGTTGTAAATTAGGTAACTAAATTAATATTAAAATTTTCCATGATTCTGACAATTATGCTATGGATATGTAAGAGAACCTTCCTTTTAGGATATACTAAAAATTGTATGTCAGGACTGGAGTAATGGATCAGTGGTTAAGAGCACTTACTGCTCTTCCAAAGGACCTGAGTTTACTTCCCAGCACCCACATCAGGCAGCTCCTAGGAATTCAATGCCCTCTTCTGGCCTCTGTGGGCACCTGTACTCACATGGCATAGACACACACATATGCATAAATAAAAAATATAAATGTCTTAAAAATATAAATAAAATATGTGTAATGATAAAGGGCATGGTATATGTGCAGTTTACTCTCAAGTGTTGGAGGTATAAATATATTTACGCATGGAAAGAGTGACAGTCCAATGTTAACTGGAGAATATAGATTAAGAAACAGGAAGGGTTTTCTGAGTAATTCTTATAATGTTATCATATGTTTGAAATTATTTAAAAATAAAAGTTTACAGGGCTGGAGAAATAGCTCAGCAGTTAAGAGCACCTGCTGCTCTTGCAGAGGACCCAGGTTCAGTTCCAGCATCCACATGGTGGTTCATAACCCATCTGTAACTCCAGTTCCATGGGATCTGACGGCAGCCTTCTGGCCTCCAAGAGCACTGCATGAGGGAGGTGCACATGCAGGTTAAGCATTCATACACATAAAAAATGTTTAAATCATAAAAACCAAGTTTTCAAAAATTAATAAATCCAAGACAAAACTGATCTCTCCCAAACCCGCTCCACCCACATCCACTATGCCCATCTTAGAAAGTGGCATCTCTTTCTGGGTGCTCTCACCAAAATCCTTGGAGCTGGGGCTTGCAGAATGGCCTAGTGGGTAAATGTGCTTGTTGTCAAGTCCCACAATCTGAGTCTGAGACCTAGAACCACACAAGGTGGGAGACGAGAAATGACTTCCCTTGAGTTGTCCTCTGCCAGAGCCCCCTCTTCACAAATAAATGTATTTACTTATTATGTGTGTATGTATGTATTTAGAGACAGAGTCCCACTCTGTAGCTTATTATTTATTTATTTATTTATTTAATTTATTTATTTAGGTGTATGAGTGTATTGCTTGCACATGTGTTAGTGTATCCATGTCATGCAATGCCCATGGAGGTCAGAAGAAGTTGTCATGTAACCTGGAACTCGTTAGCTGCCATGTGGGTGCTGGGAACCGAACCAGGGTCCCCTTCAAGAGAAGCCAGTGTTATTAACCACTGAATTAATAGCCCCTCTTTTTATTTTTTGAGAATTTTATACATGAGTATTATATTCGCATTATTTTTATCCTTCCAGTCTCCATCAAACACCCCCCATCTCTCACCCTCCCCAATGAATTCTTGACATATTCTTTGATAATTATGGTACTGTATAATACACTGGATCCATTTAGTGGTGCTTGTGTGTCTATGTCCTTAGGGCTGCCCACTTGTGGGTTAGGCAGCCTCTCATGGTGCTAGTCCCTGGGCAAAACTGATTTTCCATCCCCTTTGCAGTAGATGGATGTACCCATCTTGAGGTGGGACCTTATGGAATTTTCCCCATCCAAATTGGTTCATCAATTGGTTTTGTCATCATGCAGATGTTGTTAGGCTACCATATTGTGGCGAGCAGCCTCACGGTGCGGACCCCGCCCCCGGCGCGCGGAGCTGAGGCCAGAGCCTTCCAAGCAGCGGGCTCCAGGCACCCGCCAGCGCCGTCTTCGCACCAGGTGGGAGCCCTCGCCCGGGCTAGGGCGTCTACAGTAGGTGGTCTGGCCGAGCCCACCCGGCCGTCTGGGGGCTGCGGACCGGGATGTTGGGCGGCTGCCGGAATGCATAGCGGTGTGGGCTGGGGTCGGACAGGGACTGGGCTCTGTAAAACTGGTCCTTGGGCAAGGCAGCAGTCTGCCTGGGTGCGGAGATGCCAGGAGGGGTCTGCCACGACTCCTGGACCCAGTAGACCCATGTGTGTCAGAGGAGGAAACAGCCCTGCTAGGTTCCATTCACTTCAGAGCACAGGTTTCGCTGACCCTGGAGCAGGAGAGAGGGATGGTAACTATCCCCACAATACCCCGAGGACTATGTGCCTTGAACTCACTCCAGGCTTTTCCTCTCTGGGCCATTTGCTCAGGTGTGTCTGGGTAGGGGGCTCCTAACAAGCACCCTACCGGACTTCTCTCCTAGGGGCCCAGACAAGGATGGGGAGGTGTTGGTCCTTCACAGCCCTTCTGATCGTCTGCTCTCAGGGACAGGGAGTGACTCTGTCTCTGATGAGCTGGTTTAAGAGCAGAACATCTGACACTGCCCAGCTATGGGGACTAGTATGGGTAAGGGGCACAGGCCTGGTCTGGCTTCTGCCCAGGTAGATGTCTAGTTATGACCAAGTCAAGTTCCAGCTGTCTGAACCCCAGGAAAGGGAAGAATATGGCTCCAGAGGTAAGGGCCTAGTTTGTCCCTGTCCCCAGTCACTCAGCCAAGCCTAGGAACTGCCTAACCACAGCTTTTGGGCCCCTCAGCCGCCAGAATGCCACCTTGTGCCTCTTAGCACAAATGTTTTCTTTGCTAAAGCTTCAAGGACACCAAGGTGTCCTGGCTTCAACTCGCTTCTGACTCTCTCATAGGCATGCACTTCCCTTCTTGGGGGCCAGTGCTTCCCAAGATTGCAGGGATGGACAGGACAGCCTTGTATAGCCCCAAATACATGGCAGGAGAGGGCAGGAATGTGGCGGTTGTGACCACCGAGGGCCCACAGTGCCTGCTGGGGGATCCTGGCCATACCTACTCTGGGTCTGCAGACAGAACGGGCTGGGAATAGTGGTGACTTTCACTGCCTCTGCTGGGTCCAGTGGACTTCTCTGTGGGCAGGAATGTGGTGGTTGTGACCGCCGAGGGCCCACAGTGCCTGCTGGGGGATCCTGGCCATACCTACTCTGGGTCTGCAGACAGAACGGGCTGGGAATAGTGGTGACTTTCACTGCCTCTGCTGGGTCCAGTGGACTTCTCTGTGCATACCAGGAGTCCAAGTTGCCAGATGATACTGGGCTGGGGAAGGATTGGGCTCTAAGTCACAGGAGAGGAAGGGAACAACATTCCTGCTTTCAGTCCTACCAACTTCCATCCAGGTTGTGGGTGAGAAGGGTTTCTGTCAATTTATCCAGCACCGCAAGAAACACCAAGGCCTGGTGAGTAGTATGGAGGCCCAATGGGCCTTACATAGCTACAGTCTCAAAACTACAGGCAGATGCGGCCCCTAGGGACATGCTAGAGCTAGAACAGGGTCATGAGACAGAGGACTGAAAGTGGCTTGGGTGCACTGCAGGGAAGTGCAAAGAGGTCTTGAAGAGGCTCTGGACCAAGTGGCAAAGGACACAGGAAAGAAGGGGCAGCCACATTAGGACCTTGGTCAGTTGAAGGGAAGGAGACACTAGGTCTTGAGATGCATTGTCCCTATAAGCTATGATGGCTTCAGGGAGAGTTCTTTCCCATCTACAGTGAAGCTCACAGCCTTTCCATTAAACAGCAGGCATCTACTAGCCTGCTGCTATGGGCTGCCCTAGTGGTAAGATGAGGGTGATGGTCTGCAAGTGTTGGCTGTCGAGGCAAGGGTGGGAGAACAGCATGCTGAGGACCCCAGAACTGGGTTGCAATAGGATATGCTGTGGAAGAGGGTCTGGAAGGAAGTCCTGGGAGTGGCTGTGGAACACCAGAGATCATCATGGAAGGATGGCGTCTGTCATCAACAGGGTCACAATGAGGAGGCCAGGCTCAGAGGAGCTGGGAGAACTCACTGGGGCCTTGAATGTCAGGCTGGAACCCAGATTTTCTCTGGGGGGAGCAGCAGGAAACTTTGAGGGCTTCAAAGTGATAAGTGCAAGTCTCCCTTTGATGGGATGGGAAAGGCTGACTGGAAGTCAAAAGGTCAGATCTAGGTGGACCTGAGGGCTCAGCCTAGGGAGCCTCACTGCCCAAGAAGTGATGGAGGGCCCAGGATGGAGCTACCACCCACCTGGGGCTAGTCAGGTTCCCTGAGCGGGGCAGCTGGGGTTCACAGCCCAGAGCCTGGGGCAGGATGGAGGGTAATAGATGGGGTAGCAAAGGGCTGGGGGAGGACTGGATCAGGACAAGAGAATGTCAGGAATGCAGTGCTGCCACTTAGCCTCCTCCTCTCATCCCAGCAGAGCCCCCCTTGTCACTCAGAGATAGGTAGTCAGGAAGTATATGGCGCACCTTAATTCTTGGCACCAAGCCAATCCTAATGGTTCACCCAGACATAGCGAAATTAGTTTATTCTATGCCCAGTACCACTCCAGGAGCTCTCCGGCCACTAAGTTAAGTCATCCTTGCTACAGGACACCCTGTCCTCCTGTTCCCAGACCAGGCAAAATCGAGGAACTTACTCAGAAGGATCATAGCTCACAGGCATTTCTTGTAAAGAACTGGATTGCTGGAGGCCCAAGCCTGTGGGAGACCTTGAATGCCAAGGCTAGAACTGAAAGCCATCAGGGGGAGGCAGGACAATTTTAGGGCTCTGGTCATTGTCCCACACTCCTTTCTGCAGGAAATCCCTGCCCACCCGAAGCCAGAATGTCCAGCAAGCGGGCCAAGGCCAAGACCACCAAGAAGCGGCCCCAGCGGGCTACGTCCAATGTCTTCGCCATGTTTGACCAGTCCCAGATCCAGGAGTTTAAGGAGGCCTTCAATATGATCGACCAGAACCGTGATGGCTTCATTGACAAGGAAGATTTGCATGACATGTTGGCCTCTCTTGGTGAGCAAGATAGGCCGGACAGGGAACTACGTGGGGGAAGTGTAGAGGCTGCTCGGCATTTACAGGGCACTTCCTGTGAAATGAGACATGTAGTACCACCCTATAGAGTGCTCTAACTATGTCCACTTAACAGAGAGGCATGGGACAGGTCCAGCACAGGATCTGAACCTAGACAGACTGACTCCCCAGTGGGACTTTCTCAGGCACATCTGTGTATCGGGCTGCCTGGTAGCATGTTAAGAAAAGGGGCCAGCAGCTACATAAAATTTTGCACAAATGGGGAAATTGAGACCCAGAGGGGAGGCCAGAGCATTCCCCTCTGCCCCCAGTGACATCCCCCAAACCAGGATCTTAGGGTCAAAAGGGCTCAGGACTCAAGTCCAATTTGCCATTGCTCAGATGGGGAAACTGAGGCCCAGAAGGAAAGCCTTCAGGGTTCATCCCTGTCTATGTGCTGACCACAGACAACTGCCCTTAGCTCCAGTTCCTGGTGTAGCTTTCAATGGGGCAAGAGCCCAGGATCAGATACAAGCCAGGAAGGAAGGGTCTAGCATTGGGGGCCAGCCATATGAGAGTTAAGGTATGCCACTGGGTCAGACAACCCCATTTAGTCCCTGGCACTGTCCTTTGCCCACTGGCCTATATAATGGGTATCACACCCTCATATGTTCAAGACTGGTGAGAGACCAGCAACTCAGAGTGGGAAGGAAGGTGCCCACCCCCTCCAGCTGTAGGCTAGAAGGGAAGGACTGTGTCCAGGGGAGGAGGGCTTGCCCTGTGTGCTACACTGGGGTCTTCCTGGGATCATAGCTCTTCTGGGGTTTCTACTTATCCAGCCAGCCCATAAGGACACAGCAAGGGGCACGAGGCTGAGGGACAGGGACATGAAGGATTCACCCATTTGTCAGGCAGCACTCTGCATTTAGGGCTCCAAACCCCTGAGACTTGATGGCCCTATACAACTACCTAGAGAAGCACTTGTGTATGATAGGTCCACAGATCAGACAAGCCTTCTGGTTAAAGAGCACTGTCAGGCTGGAGAGATAATTCAGCGGTTAAGAGCACTGGCTGCTCTTGCAGAGGACCCAGGTTTGGTTCCTAGTACCCACATGGTAGCTAAGAATGGTCCATAACTCCAGTTCCAGGGGATCTGACACCCTCTCCTGGCCTCTGGACACTGCTTACATGGGTACACTTACATACATGCAAGCAAAATACTCATAAAAATAAATTAAAAAACCACATTGTCAGCCAGGTGTGATGGCACACACCTTCAGTCCCAACACTCGGTAAGCAGAGGCAGGCAGATCTCTGTGAGTTCAAGGCCAGCCTGGTCTACATAGTGAGTTCCAGGTCTACATAGTGAGTTCCAGGCCAGCTGGGGCTAAGGGAAACTCTATCTCAAAAAGACCCAAAAAAACAACTACAAAAAACTCAAAAACATTCTCCTTAAGTTAACAAATAAAGGATAGTAAGTAAAATAACAATCATCTCTACAGGTATCATCTTAACACTTGATACAGTCCCCTTGGGTGGGACAAGAAAACAGGCTCAGAAGAGATAAGTAATTGGCCCAGCCTCACACAGCAGTCATGTGGTAGAGGGGGATCCAAACCCAGCAGTTGAGTGCAGCATCCAAGATCTGTGCCAATGATTGTCATGAGAGTTTTGTTGTTGTTGTTTTGTTTTTGCTTCTGAGGTAGGGTCTCTCTGTAGCCCCAGCTGGCCTTGAACTAACTATATAGACCAGGCTGGCCTTGAACTCACAAAGATCCACCTGCCTCTGCCTTTGGTATGCTGGGACTAAAGGCATGTGCCACCACACCTAGCTGTCATAAGGCTTTTTATAACTGCTGTCTTATTGTCACAATTCTGAGACACAGGAAACTAGATGCAGAGCTAGGATTTAAAGTGATGCCTGTGTGACACTAAAGCTCACAGATTTAGCCATTTCTGAACCTGTCTGAAATTCAGGGACAAGCTGCCTAGGCTGAGTTGCTGTCCTTATTTGCTGTGCGACCTTGGATAAGCGTCCTTGCCTCTCTGGCCTATGAAATAGGGTAAGGATGCTGTTGGAACTGTAGTGAAAATAAAATGCAGCAAGACACATGGTCTACCAGGCCCAGCAGGGTCAGAGGTCCTGCTTTATACTGTAGTGAGCATGACCAATGACTGACCTCCAGCCCAGTCACGGAACTGGTGGAGGAGCCAGGAACTTGTGGCACTCAGGCAGGCAGGAAATCAGCTGTCCAGCACCTGCTTCCCAGTTTTTAAAGCTCACTGTGAGGAGGGCCCTGGGAACCAGTTGCCCAGGCTGGAGAGAGACCTAGTGACAGCAGGCACAATGCCCACCTACCACAGGAAAGAACCCCACAGATGAGTACCTGGAGGGTATGATGAGCGAGGCACCAGGGCCCATCAACTTCACCATGTTCCTCACCATGTTCGGGGAGAAGCTGAATGGCACAGACCCTGAGGATGTGATCCGCAATGCCTTTGCCTGCTTCGACGAGGAGGCCTCAGGTCGGTGCACACTGGAGGTCTGGACTGGGTGGGTCCCATGCAAGGTACTCAGTGCTTGCAGGGGATGGTGCTAAGCCAGAGGCACAGTGGTGAAGCTAGCTGTCCCCGTCATCAATGCCTAGCTCCCAGATGCCAGACCAGAAGTCACTGTCCTCAGTTTCTAGACTTCTTACCTCCTGACTGCACCTGTCAGCCTAACACATACTCCCTCTGCTATAGACCTTTTTCAGAAACCAAGCTGTGCCATGCCTCTCTTATCCCAGCTTGCCACAGCTAGTTTTATCCTCTCACAGCAACACAGTCCCCACAGATGCTGTAGAACTTCTTTGTGGGCCTCTCTAAACCCTCCCATCCATGTTATTTTCCCTCAGAGTGACTGGAGAGTGGGGCGGGGTCTTTTGGCCCCTTTCCAGCTGTGAAGTGTACTGGGAGGGGATGGGGCTCAGCCAGAGCACCTGCTCTCATAGACCTTGTCCTGCCCCAGGCTTTATCCATGAGGACCACCTGCGGGAGCTGCTCACCACCATGGGTGACAGGTTCACAGATGAGGAAGTGGACGAGATGTACCGCGAGGCACCCATTGATAAGAAAGGCAACTTCAACTACGTGGAATTCACCCGCATCCTCAAACATGGCGCCAAGGACAAAGATGACTAGGTTACTCTTAGCCCTCCTGATGCCCAGACCCCACCCCAGTCACCTCCCCCACACTCACACACTCGACTGTACCAGCTCTGTGCCACAGCCACAACCCTCCCCATGAGAGGTTAGGGTCTCAGTGCCCAGGGCAGTAAATGAGCCTCAAGACACACAGGGTGAGGTAGAGGTACACAGAGGCTTAAGGCAGGTGCTCCCACCATGACCCCAGACACTAGAAGGGGTCTCTGAACCCTGCAAGGAAGGACCACGGTCTGGGGAGGTGAGCCAAGGGCAGGACCAACAGGGGGAGGCCCCTGAAGATGACCAGCGTCAGCCGTGCCCTCACTTTCCTGGGCTATCCCTAGAAGGAAAGCAGCTGTGTCCTGGTGTCAGACACTAATTCCCAGCATCCCCACAAAGACACACACTCACCATGTCCCTTCAGAGGATGACAATGCTCCTTTATGCCTGTCCAATTCCTAGAGCATACCCACTCCACCAAGGGGTGCAGACAGTGCACACAGAGGGGGATTGTCTGAGGGAATGCAGTCTCTAATACAAGGCTGAACACTGCCTCGAGTCTATGTGTCTGTGACTATGGGGAAATAAGTGTTCCTATCCCCCCCCACCTTCCTTCCTCCCATCCCAGTGGCTGCCCTGATGCATCACTACCTGCCTTCATTCAGAGGAGGGGCTGGGGGCCCTCCAGCCATATGGTCCTGAAGCCTCAAGGGTCAGGGAGCGCCATGCTCAGCTGAGACCAGATAAGCAAACAGAAGGGAAATAGGCCTCCTGGGAGGAGAGGACATAGTGGGAAGACCCATGGGGTTCACCATAGGCCATACAGTGGATAGGTTTTGAACTGTGGGGGTCAGAGGTCAAGGTCATACAGCGCTCAGGACTAAAGCCTGATTTCCAGTTCACCTCACTGCACTGTGGAAGCTAAGTGGCCTTGAAATCAAGGAGGACTGTAACAACAGTGAAGAAGTTGGTGTTCCAGTAGCTCAGGGAGTGATCCATCACCAGCCCTGGCTGCCCCCCTCACCCTGTCCAGTTCCAGGCAGCCACAGGGCACATTCTGGGTGTCCTCCACAGCAGTGAAAGGGTAGTGCAGGCTTGAGATAGCAGGGCAGCAGGCCTCAGCTTGGTTCACCCCCCTGAGCACAGAGTAGGCAGGGATGGGCTCCCACTACATCTGAGTGATGGGTCTCTGACAACCCGGCCTAGAGTGTAAAGGCTGAACTGCCTGGGCTCATCCAGTAACCTCCAGGCAGAATGGGATACTCGTGTCCCGCTTGACACCAGCAGAAGTCAGGGGAAGGTGGTGGACCCAGAGTGATCCTGCTACCTTCTAGGTGTGGAGGACAGCCACAGCACACAGCAAAGGTCTGGGCCGAGGATACACACATCAGTGAAGGGATGACACCTTAGCCTGGAGACTACGTTCCTGAAGGCCTTGACCCACCTCTGCACAAGGCCCTGGTAGGATTGGATGCATATTCTCTCAGTTCCAAATTGAGCACCACAAGTCCTTGGTCTCAACTCTGGATGGGACCAGGCCCAGCAGGGCCAAACCAGCCCCAAATAGTGCTCTAGACTCAGTCCCAGCCCCAGTGGCCTTTGCCCTGGCCTCTCACTGCTACCAGCCCCAAGAGAGGGTCTTGGTGAGGGGATGGGCTTTGGGTGGCTCCTGGACTCCACACCCTCTTGCTAAACCATTTAGGCACCAAAGGGGCCTGCCTTTTGACCATTAGCATCAAGAAAACAGGCATGGTGGTTCACTCCTATAATCTCTGTACTCAGGAGACTGAGGCAGGAGGATCACCACAAATTCAAGGCCAGCCTGGGCTATAGAGTGAGATTCTGTTAGGAAGGAGAGGATGGAAAGCAGAGTGACCAGGCATGGGGACCATGCGGCAAAAGTCTGGGGTGGCAACATACCAACCAGCTCAGGAACTGGGAAGGTGGTTCAACTAATGCCTTATGATGTGAGCAGCTTTTCAAGAAAAAAAAACAGTAGCAGCTAATGAGAGACAGGAGTAGTAGTTTACATCCATCATTTCAACACTCAGGAGGATGAGGCAGGATGACAGCCTGGGCTACAAACTGAGATCATGTCTATAAATAAATACAAGTTAATGGGTTTTATCTTCTCAGGTAACATTTAGAGGTAACAGTGAAACACTCTAGAACTAGAGCTTTCCAAGTTTAGCACAAACCCCAGAAGCCATGATTGATGGATTTCAGTGCAGGAAGACTAAGTAACTACACAGTTAAAAATCAAGCCTGAGGCCAAGCGTGGTGGCACACCCCTGTAGTCCCAGCACTTGGGAGGCAGAGGCAGGTGGATCTCTGAGAGTTCAAGGCCAGCCTGGTCTACATAGTGAGTTCCAGGCCAGCTGGGACTACAGGGAGACCTTGTCTCAAAAAGATGACAAAAAATCTTAAGCCTGGGGGCTGGAGAGACAGGTCAGTGGTTAAGAGCACTGGCTGCTTTGGCAGAGGACCTGGGTTTGGGTCTCAGCAACCACATGATGGCTAACAACTGTCCATAACTCCAGTTCCAGGGAATATATGACACCCTCTTCTGACTTCTGTGGGCATTGCACAACATGGGTGCACTTACATACATGTAGGCAGTACACTCATACACATAAATAAAATATTTTTAAAAGTCACAGCCAGGACTGGCAAGACGGCTCAGCAGTTAAGAGCACTGGCAAAGGACCCAGGTTTGGTTCCCAGCATCCATATGGTATCTAGCAACCCTCTGTAACTACAGCTCTAGTGAATTTGACTCCCTTTTCTGGCATCTGTGGGCACTACACAACATGGGTGCACTTATATACATGCAGACCTAAAACTCATTAAATAAATAAATAAATAAATAAATAAATAAATAAATAAATAAACCATCACAAAATCCAATGCTTTCTCAAAGGCCTCACTTCCAAATACCATGGCATTGGGATATTTGGAGTATTTAGGGCTTCAACCCATCATTTAATTTAAGGAAGACACAATCATTCTATAACAAGCAATTCTAGAACAATTTCTTTCTCTGGCAGTAGGGTCTTACATATTCATAGATACTTTCCAGCAAGTTCTAATGAGCTTTTATGTCTTTGATGCAGGCTTGCTTGTTTCTTCTTACACGCTTTGCCAAAATTTAAACACATTTCCTCAGGCTTGTAGCACTTTTAACCCATTGGGCCATCTCTCTCACCCTCCTTTTAAAAAAACATTCATTTATGTATGTATTGGCGTATGTATGTGAGCATGTACTTGCCATGGCATGTGTGTGGAGGTTAGAGGACAATTTGTGGGAGTCAGTTCTCTCCTTTCACCGTGTGAATCCCCAAGACCAAACTCAGGTCACAAGACTTGGTGGCAAGTAACTTTACCTACTGAGCTATCTTGCTGGCCTTCAAAGAAACTTTTATTCTACAAAGAGTATAAAATAAATGAACAGATAATACAGAATTATCTGTCCTATGCAAATACCTTAGCTGATTAACAAAATAGACACAGGGACTGGTGGTGTAGCTCAGTTGGGAGAGTGCTTTCGTAGCATGCATAAAGCCCTGAGTCTGATCCCTAACTATCCATAAACCAGGTGTGGTGGCACATGCCTGTAATCCCAGCTCTGGAGAGGTAGAGACTGGTGAATTGGAAGTTCAAGGTCATTCTTAGCTACCTAGTGAGTTTGAAGTCAGTGTGGACTATATAAGACCCTGCCTCAAAAAAAGAGAGAAACGGGAAGAGAGGTAAGCATTTTGAACTGGGAGGGAACAAAAAGAAAAAGGACCGAATAATCCAGTTCTAAATTGCATCTTTTGTGTTTGTTTGTGGGTTTGTTGTTTTTTCCTGAGACAGGGTCCCAAATACTGTATATTAACATATGTTCACCCTGACTGGTATTGAGAAAAAAGTGCAAATAATAAAACTATAAGCCACTTTATACCCATCACATAGCCAAAAATGAGAGCAAGAGGTAATATCAAACACTGGTAAAGATGGAGGGAAGAGAATCCGCGTGCATTAGATGATAGAAAGACTGAACAGCAACCAGGCATGAGTGCAATTCAGCAACTACACCCCCGATCCCCGGCCCAGAGGAACCACAGGCCAGGAAGGCCTGACAACACTTCATGAGGAAGAAGCACGTGCAGCAGCAGAAATCTGGAACACTCTGTGCATAGAAGAGGACAGATGTCAACAGCACTGGGGGTGGGGGCAATGAGAGCTATGGTCCAGTAACATCATGAAAGCTGTGTGACATTTGATGCCATGGAGATGGGGATAGGGATAGGACAGAAAAGGAAATTAAGGGGGCATGGAAAGGAAAAGAAGTCCCTTGCTCTGGAGTCTGGTTGAAATTTCTCACCAGCTGAGAGTCAAAAATTCCAGCGCAATTAACAAAATCTGCTACGAAGACTGCCTACACAGAGCCAATTTTCTTTTCTTTCTTCTTTTTTTTTTAATGCTTGTTGGCTTTCTTTTTAGATATTTGTTTGTTTACTTATTTATTTATTTATTTTATTTATGTGTACAAGTGCCTGTGGAGACCAGAGAGTGTCCAATATCCCTGGAACTGGAGTTACATACAGGTAGTTGTGAGCTGCCTGATGTGGGTGCTGGGAACCGAACTCAGGGCCTGTGCAAGAGCAGCAAACACTCTTAACCTTTAAGCAAGCCATCTTTACAACCTCCAATATTATTTTTATATAGAGATGTTTCAAATAATAATGTTAAAATTAGAGTGTGGTGCGGTGGCACATGCCTATAATCTCAGTACTGAGGCAGAGGCAGGAGAATTACAAGTTCAAGGCCAGCTTGGTCTACATGTGAGTTCCAGGCTAGCTAGGGACTATGCAATGAGACCCTGTCAAAAAAAAAAGTAAAATAGCAAAATAGAAAAAACAAAACAAAAAACCAAACATGTTTATGACCCAAAAGTTTATGACCTTTGAGTTTAACCTTACTATTTTCCCAGGTATAAATCTGTAATTTTCTAAGAACCCTTCAAACAATATTATGAATTTGCCTACAGTCAAAACATGCCATAGCTCCCTTGTGACCCAGCACAGTAAGAATTCCTTCACCCTTTGACCTATGGTTTTATTTCATCATCTTGTAATCCTGTCTAGTGCCTCTCAGGAAATATCCAAGGATCACCTTTGATAAAAGAAAAAAGTTCATTAGAAACCTTTTAAACAAAACTTCAGAAGCCACCAAAATGGTATGCATGGTTACTATAAGCGTGCCTTCAGAGAAGTCCACACCCATACTGAGATATGTGCTGTCCTTTTCCTAAGCACCCCAGCTCGTTCTCTGACTCTCTCTCTCCCTCCCTTCCCCTTAATGCTATACTTAAACATAAGTTAAAATCTTTTCTTAAGGGCTGGAGAAACTGTCCCCGACCGCTTTCCGTCTCGCCGGCAAGAACGACGCGGGAGGA